AGGCCTAAAATGCTAAAATACTAAATCTTCAATTACTGTGAAGCTGATGTATGATCGTATGAAAGTAAGAATGTGAAACATATGTGTTGCTAGGTTACATATTAGTATATATGAATGTGTAATAAAGTTACTCTGCAATAACATAATGTATGTGTCGGTTGTAATATTGCTGCTATCAGATTGGTCTGCACGGTGTGTAAGGCCAAGGCTTTGAAAGGTGCAATTGTGTTGGAACTAAAAGGTGTCAGACCAATCGCTGCAAATGTTTTAAGGCCAAGATGCAATGTAATTCTAGATGTCATTCAAGTCTTTCATGTGCAAACAAACATTCCTGAGTGTCCATCTGACTGCTATTTGTCATACCATTCACGTCATACCATTTTATGAAATAAAAGATTGAACTGTTTAAGCTTATTTCTGTGATTTTTGTGTAAGGTATCTGGTTACCAGAGGTTGTATTTACTTTGATAGCTAATCTTATTTCAAAACTAGCACACATTATAAAAACAAGGCAGGAATATGCTTTCAGTAAACAAGTATAAAATCCCTTGATTCATTTCAGTGATTATGTCTAATTACTGAAGATTTCAGTAATTAGACATAACCACCGAGTGAATCAGTTATTAGACATAATCACTGAAATTTTCAGTCATTAGACTTAATCACTGATTATACTTGTTTCCTGTAACATATATATATTCATTTATTTGTCGTGCCGATGTAGCTGTATTACTCGTGCAGAGGTCTGTGTCTGGACTGATGAACCCAGGTCCACACACTTGGTGGGTTTACTAGGTTTTATATATATTTCTCATATATTGTACATTGTATGTATACATGATAGTAAATGTATCATGTCACGTTTATGTTACTCTATTTATATGATACGTATATATATAAGTATATACGCGGGTTAAGTATGTTTATCATATAGGATTATAGTCTTGATGAAATGTAACTTTATCTATTAGTGGTTATAACATTTTGTATATATCGTCAAATTTAATGAAATATTTGATATCAGCATATATTTGTATTTTGTGTAATGAATGTTTTACAATTGTTTCAGGGTTTAAATCTATCAGTAATACACTTGGCTGTAACTGCGAACAACACCTGTGTCTGTCCTTCATGTCATGAAGCAGTCTCGGTTTCATATATTTCTAAACAAAAACAATATTGTCTGTCCGATTTCTAAGTAGGAAAATACACTGATTTCACCAGTCCTTAAACCCCGACTATCACTGGACAGAACTTGGACAAAACAACCAATCAACGTACTGGTAACAATTCTTGCACGGCTTGAACATCGGACGATCTTCTGAAATAGTCTGTGTTAGAAGTCGGTTGTCTTGTCTCCCAGAAGACCCGGACATCTAGAATACATACCGGTAACGTCAACTCATCAGTTATTAATGCATGTACATATGCGCGGCATGAAGACACACTATGTCTGAAGAACTTTGCAAACATTTGATATTTGCATTCTATGGTGATGTTTATGAGTAGTACTGTCATAAGTATAAGAATCGTTTTGGTATTGAAAGTGTTTTAGTTGTGCGAATAAATATTTGTTTTAGTAATTCGGACAACTTTCTGAATTCGAGAATGGATACAATCTATTGGCATGAAAACCACGAGAAACAATTGTACTGAAATTACCCATTTTACAAGCACACATTGGTTTGATCAAAATGGGTGTGATTTAAACTCCATTATAATTCGAAAATAACGATTGTGTATGTAATTAAAACGAATAATTGAAGCAATTACGAAAGTAAATCTGAATGAAGCATCCGTACAATCTCCAGTTTGTCGTCACACCCTTCACAGTAGACGTTGGGACGTTTGACGAAGACTAACAAATTCCAGTTTAACTCCGCTTTTGAACACTATTCAATTTATATAACTGCTTGTCAGCGACTGGGCCACCCATGGCACACAGGTAAGTACATACACAACTTGACCATGAGAGAAATGATATTTCTTTACATATTTGGGGATATTGTGGGGTATTTGATGCCAGAAAATTTAATTCAGAACCCAAATATTAATATATCCACCAGTGATGTTCCCTTTGTTTCATCCCATACCAAACACTCATGCCATGATAAATGTTACAAGTATTTCATTGAAATAATCACGTGCAACCAATTATATACTTTAATGGAAAGAAGTAATATTTTTAACATTTCAAACAAACCCTTGATTTGCGATATCAGGATAGTACAGAATGATTATACAGAATTAATCATGATTATTGTTGATTGATCGTTTGGTACAAACTGATTATGAACAATGATTGCTTCCTATCACTAATAGCCAAACAAGTATTCAATAACACAAACAATCACATCTTTTTATAGAAATTGCAAATACAATAAGTTACCTGTAATTTTCCAATGCACTCTCTTTATACCTGTGACCTGCGAAGATCCGGGGGAGGACAGGTCTTCAGCAACCCATGCTTGTGACCCGTGAAGATCGGGGGTAGAATAGGTCTTCTTATGCTTGCCATAAAAGGTGACTATGCTTGTCGTAAGAGGCCGACTAATGGGATCGGGTGGTCAGGCTTGCTGACTTGGCTGATGCATGTCATTGTATCTCAATTACGTGGATCGATGCTCATGATGTCAATCATAGGATTGTTTGGTCTAGACTTGATTATTTACAGACCGTTTCATATAGCTGGAATATTGCTGAGTGCGGTATTAAACAAAACACAATATTTATACCTGTGTATTTACGGATGTGAGACAAAACACCCCACTAGACTGTTATGTCACCCTGGCACAATAGAAGATATGATGTATGCTTGAACGACAGAAGAACAATCTGATGACCAAATGCAAAGAACAATAAACTTAATCCAGTTGTCATGGAAAGTATGTATTAAACATGTATAGATCTGATCATGAAGCGGATAGAGTATCACTGTACAGTATCACATGGGGTTTCTTTCAAATTCTGGACCAAGTTCTACTTTTTCAAGAAAAATATTAATATACATTGAAAAGTCCAGAAGATATAGGCTTTTCAACCAATCAATGTCCTGGAATGACTGACTACCTTACTTCTATTTGTAATGTTTTTATGATTTATTACGATTATGGTCACATAGTCGTTTGATTGTTTTTGTTAGCCACAACTATTCACCATACTTCCAAATGAAAGACTTACATTTCCTATAAGTGTTATGTTCCATCGACCTTCATAAAATGTCTGAACAGGAACTAAATATATATTACGGGATGTCGGACAAAATCAATTTCAGTGTCTCAGCAAACAGCAGTTGTGAGGATTTCCATGAAAAATTCAGCAGCCTAGATGGAGAATAGTATTTGTGTAATAGATTATTGGTAGGACAGAGCCATGGGCGGTTATTTCATGTGGGTAGTATTGCGTCTGATAACTTCTGATAAACAGTGTGGTGGCATGTTAGGAGACTATGTTCTAAAACCAGACACAGAATATATTCTTTTTGGTATCACATTCCATAAGAAGTACTGATCTTGACGTTGACTCCAAACAATCCATATCGAACGCCTCCAGTTAAGGCCGCCTGCTTATGTGGTACATATTTATCCATAATGAAGCCAATTTAAGAAAGGAGTATTGGCAGACGGTACTGGGAAATGTGAGAGGTTCTAGTCATCAGATGAGAAAATGGCTACTTCTGGTTACACAAATTAGCAAGGGAGTTGTAATGATTTCCCTCCATTTGTTCTTCGTCAGAGCCCAGAGTGATGTTTGTGCTATGATTATCTTACTTGTATATATAGCATCATGAAATCTGGCTGTCTGATAGGTCAGTCATCGTCAAGGTAGATCTATTTTCCACACAAACATATTCTAACAAAGGAAATAGCTGTGACTCAATGATACATTTGTTTTCTGTGTCATAGTTACTTATCTGTTTTAGAAATAGTTCTAGAAGAGAGGAGCTACGTCTAATTTACAAGCAGGAACAGCAGTTGTTAAAAACAACATTTTGATATATGATTTCTGGAAAATACAGACCAAAAATTAACCAATTTTAACCAATTAAAAACTAATAAAACAACTGGAGAACAGTTGGGGGAGTGAGTGAGTATGGTTTTATGCCGCCTTTAGCAATATTCCAGCAATATCACGGCAAGGGACACCAGAAATGGAATTCACACATTTGACCCATATGGGGAACTGAACCCCCACTTCGGCGTGACAAGCGAACGCTTTAACCACTAGGCTACCCGACTGTCCCTTACTGTAAAGGCAAATGTAGTAGCAGCAGCTAGTTGTAGTGGTGGTAGTGGTGGTAGTGGTGGTAGTAGTAGTAGTAGCATCAGCAATTGTGGTAGACTAGAAATACAACTGTAGAATGGATAAGGCCTGTTAAAAGTGTAGTTCCGATTACTGGCAGTTTTTCTGTGGTATTAGCTGTTTGTGACTCACATGAAAATATTCCCGATCTCTGCCAACTTCACCGTAGTTCTCCAGCAAAGTTGCAAAGTAGTTTAAGCCACAGCATTGTTTTCGTAAGTCCACACGATGGAAGGAGAATGATGGGACGTGGTTACTTGTGCATGTCACCTCAATATAGTCTGGGGCTGTGGTGTAACTTAGTGGTTAATGTGTCACTCCTCACACCAAAGACCCAGATTCAATTCCCCACATGGTTACAATAGGTGAAGCCCATTTCTGGTGTCCTCCGCTGTGATATTGCTGGAATTTTTCCAAGAGGGACATAAAACCATACTGACACACTCACTCAACATATTCTGCCAGGACTTGTAACCCTGTTATGATTTAATGAAGAAAGATGTAGTGTGTGTGAGTGAGATGCTTTCAACAGTATTTCAGTTATATCGCGGCATGTTGGCATGATAAGGGCAGAAAGCCTGAAGCAACGCAGGCCTTGGACATTTGCCACATTAGTGAAAAACGAAAGTACATGAATGGTGCTGACAAACCAAAAAACAAACAGGGCTAGCCAGGATTCGAACCAACAATTATATATACTAAAGCATGCAACTCTTTACAGCGAAGAGCGGCGCCTTAGACAACTTGGCCATCCCTGCCCTTAGCTTGCAACTCTTTACAGCGAAGAGCGGCACCTTAGCTAACTGGGCCATCTCTGCCCATAGCTTGCAACTCTTTACAGCGAAGAGCGGCACCTTAGACAACTGGGCCATCCCTGCCCTTAGCTTGCAACTCTTTACAGCGAAGAGCGGCACCTTAGCTAACTGGGCCATCTCTGCCCTTAGCTTGCAACTCTTTACAGCGAAGAGCGGCACCTTAGCTAACTGGGCCATCTCTGCCCATAGCTTGCAACTCTTTACAGCGAAGAGCGGCGCCTTAGACAACTGGGCCGTCCCTGCCCCTAGCTTGCAACTCTTTACAGCGAAGAGCGGCACCTTAGACAACTGGGCCATCCCTGCCCCTAGCTTGCAACTCTTTACAGCGAAGAGCGGCGCCTTAGACAACTTGGCCATCCCTGCCCTTAGCTTGCAACTCTTTACAGTGAAGAGCGGCACCTTAGACAACTTGGCCATCCCTGCCCCTAGCTTGCAACTCTTTACAGTGAAGAGCGGCACCTTAGACAACTTGGCCATCCCTGCCCTTAGCTTGCAACTCTTTACAGCGAAGAGCGGCACCTTAGACAACTGGGCCATCCCTGCCCCTAGCTTGCAACTCTTTACAGTGAAGAGCGGCACCTTAGACAACTGGGCCATCCCTTCCCTTAGCTTGCAACTCTTTACAGCGAAGAGCGGCACCTTAGACAACTGGGCCATCCCTGCCCCTAGCTTGCAACTCTTTACAGCGAAGAGCGGCGCCTTAGACAACTAGGCCATCCCTGCCCCTAGCTTGCAACTCTTTACAGCGAAGAGCGGCGCCTTAGACAACTTGGCCATCCCTGCCCCTAGCTTGCAACTCTTTACAGCGAAGAGCGGCACCTTAGACAACTAGGCCATCCCTGCCCCTAGCTTGCAATGTATGAAAATAGGCTAATAAGAAGTCTCTGATGTGAAAAAAACCCCTAGGATTGATTAAGTTGCATTTTCTCCATATATAGCTTAGAAAAGAGCCCAGAGAATTTCATCAGTTAGATGAAACTGTAGAAACATAGACTTGCCAAAGTATTGTAGATTGGCTTGGAGTGTCAAACATTTCAGTCTGAGGGTCGCATGAGAGATTAGATATAACAGTACTTATCCACTGATGTGGTCGTACCACCACTGACAATCACACTTCACTCTCAATGTCAAATGTAACTTTATATTTTATTGTATGTGTATATGCTCTTTATTACTTGGAGTGAAACAGGTCACACTGCTTTAACATGCCCGGTGCTCAACCATGAAAACATTAGTAGATTTCAACCGGGGAATCTGTCAGGCACAAACATTTTGGTTTTTTACTTTTTTCTTTCCAGCTTGAATCTAAGACAAGTCATGCTGTGATCATTGCGAAATAACCACTCCCACAAATATTCCTACATTCAACAACACCTAGAAAATCAGGATTATCTCCCTTGTATCACTGTCCCAAACTTAATCCATTCTACCAAGAAAAAATAATTTTTATGAACACAAGTCATCCTACCAAATAAAGACATTGCCAATAAACAACAAAAAGGGGTCTTTTTTCCGATTAAGTTTTTCATCATTTTCTAAAAAACATCAAGTTATTATCTTTTAAATCTCTGCTTGTGTCTCCGTCTTGAAAGTTGTCGGGACTTGGACCAGTAATCACAGAATCTTTTCTGTTTACATTTACATTTCCAGATAAAAAAACTACTAAATTGTGCAGATGAAACCTATTTTTGTCTGAAATAGTTACCTTTGCAACCAGGCTGTATTGACTTGGCTTGGTAAATTAATGTAATTACAGGCTCTTCCACACTAACAAGACCTAATAGTTGCGGAATGTATAACAATATTGATCTGAACTGTCTCTGTGCTGCGTGAAGGGACTTCATGTTTAAGTCCATCCATATGTTAACTTGGTCTGTGTTCCCTGGACTTGCTTTGATCTTTCCCCTCTTCGGGCCCTTAAAGGATGGGGAATTTATCAAACCTGACAATGAATTAATGATGAGTTTTTGAGTGAAAGATTTCCTCATAAGAATTTTGGCTGTAGAATGTGTGAAATATTTGTTATTTGGAGTTAAGGAGTGTTGGAAATTATTGATCCTGTGTTAAGAGATTTGCTTTGTTTCTGAATTTGGCTTCTTTGATTCACTTTACATTACTGATTGGGAATTCATCAAAGTAGGTTCAAACCAGGAATAGCTCGTGTGATCCTGTTTCTGCTGATGCCGTTATCTCGAAGGAAAATCAAATTATTATGCACATGGTTGTGGAGCAGGTTGATAAATCAAAAGTTTGATAGAAACTAGAGTACATGTTTCTTAATGATGTCTCCTGGTCTGTAGTTTGGCCACACATTTTTTATTGTTTCACATGCCTGCAGCCCGTACTGAAAAGAAGCCAGACCAAGAAATAAACTTAAAATAAAATATTAATATTGTCCCTCTTATGCAATCTTAAATGTTATCAGTGATTCAAGAGGCCAGCTGTCGTTTTAACTCCACAGCAGAATGACTTTCATATAAATAAATAATAGACATTTATTTATATTTATATTTCTATCGACCTTGTGTGGAAAAGCTGAAATACATCCGTGAAACATAAAATTAAACAAGTGTGGCCTTATTGTGCTTCTTCAGCTGTCTAGAGGTAATGTTAGAGGCCCTTTTCTGATAATGTAAGATTATTGCTAAAAGCGCCTTAAACCCATACTCTTCAGCTGTCCTGTATCGGAGTGTTCTAACGACCTATTTGAAGTCAGTCTATGGCAGATATGAAGGGTTTCAGCACAAATTGAAAGTCAGGCATCATAGATATGGCATTAATTGAGACTATAACAGAGCTTGTCCCACAGATCGCTTATGGCTTATGACAAAATATGAATGTGAGAAGCGCCATGATGTTCTCTAACTTTGGTGCTGCCCCATCAGGGCCTGTTAGAGGACATCGGACCTTTTCATGTCATCATGGTGCATGCTACAAATTGCAAGACAGTTGCAAAGCACAATGAATTAATTATAATAGTTTATCTAAACTGTGGTGGGAGGCATTTTATTTGTTATACGTGACCCAGCAGGACCAAAGGGACCTGATGGGTGCTAGGAAACAATTGTGCTGTGACGTCAGCTTACTTGTACTTCCATACAAAGTGGCCATGTGTGCGGGCTATACAAGAATATCTGATTTTTCTCTCGTTATTTCGGAATGTAATAAAAACATTATTTCAATACATTTTAGCATACAATTTCAATAATCAGACATTATATCTAAAAACTGCAGTTATTACATAAACAGTTATAAGTCTGAAAATGGGACTTTGCAGAAAATGGGTCCAAATGTTTGATGCCATATATCTCTGTAATAAATATTAATTAAAGCTTGTGAATTGATATTTTGTGTTGCTAAGATACTGAAGTTTTATAAATATAATGAGAAGTCAAAATGTGATTTTTCACCCACAAGGTCCCTCCTGTCATTGTTGGTCACAGATATTGTATTTTAGTAATAAAAAAACCTTCAAGGTGAAAATGTGACCCATCATTAAGCACAACATATTTTTTCATTTCATTTGTTTTTCATTTCACCTGACAGGTGAAAAAAATCACTTTTAAACAAAAAAGGTTTTAAGATGTTGTGTTCATTCATATTGACAACCAGTCCTATGTTTTGAGAACAGAATTTTTTTAAACTTCACAGATTATTTGCTCACCATTTAGTTTGGGTATAGGTCATACAATTAAAATGTGAAATTTGTATAGATGTACCTCAATATTATATTTATTTATTTGGCAAAAGGTTTTACAACGTGGCCAGTTTAGTTGGAAACAAATGGCTTATTCTGCTTGAACTACTGGATGAATACTAGTTCAGAAAGGTGTCAGTGTATTTACTTCTGTCAGTGAAGGCAGTGTCTCTTTATCTTTGGCTTTTGATCATATACAACTGAAAAGAAGTTTAAAATACCTGATACATTCATATGACTATAGTTAATCTGTCATAGCCATGGATTAACTATATTCATATGAAGAAATTGGGTGTCCTTTAGTTAGTATATATTTGTCAAAAAGTTAGGTTACTTTGTTAAATTTTGTTTTTATTTTCTAATCCCTCAGTGAGCATTCAGGCAAATTTAATATCATTTATTATGTTTCCTGATTAAAGCTTTTAGTTCTGTTAAATTTCGTAAACCAAGAAATTGATGTTCAAGTTCTAGAAGAAGTATGTATACGGACAGTAAATATATACCCGGTTGTGGAAATTCTGACCTAGATGTCCTCAGTATGCATTTTGACCGGGATTTATTCTTAAAATTATGTAGGTATATATAGCAGCTATTCTATAATCCACTTTCATTGTCACACTGTATGTAGTAACATATGTGAGTGAGTGAGTGAGTATGGTTTTACGCCGCTTTTAGCAATACTCCAGCAATATTGCGGTGGGGGGACACCAGAAATGGGCTTCACACATTGTACCCATGTGGGTATTGAATACGGGTCTTCAGCATGATGGGGTAACTCCAGGTATTTGTATTCCAACACAATACAGAATATATTGTCATAAATTAAAAATGTTTAGCAAAATTGATGAAAAGGGAAATAGCGATGAATATTTTGATGGCTATTTTGGTAAAAGTTGTATAATTGGTATAAATAGCTGCACAAAATTTGCTTGTTTAAACTTCTAGTGAGTGGACAGCCAGACCATCAATAAGTCATACGACTGTCTGGCTCATGGAGTTAAGTCCTCTAAATGACCTTGACGAGTTGATCATAACATTACACTATCCTTACTGGAGGGAGAAGAGGGTATCTAAATTTAGCACTTCCCCCAACAAATTATGTTATGTTGTCAGCTCCTCCTGGCTCCAGTGCCTTCCCACATAATGTTGGTTAGCCATTGATGTAGTGTTGCCATCCCCAGGCCAGGGGTCATGACTGAATGAAATTACTTGACCTTCCAAAATGAGTTCTGAGCCAAGTAATATTGAAGACGGCAGACATAAACATTGAATTGCTAGCAGTTAGAGGGCCGAGAGATCCATACATTCACTCAAGGCTGAAGTTTTATCTGATGCAAAGGATCCTGCAGTTTTGCTGTAGTTTATTCAGTGGGCATAAAGTTTGATGGATCGTCCATAATGAACGATTGTTGTAGTGAAGATTACTGGACCACTGTTTTCATAAAAGGATTTTGTATAGACAGGTCTTAATAAAATATGTTTTTTCTCTGATGTTTATGATAATGGGTTTTGGTTATATGGCATGTGTGATTTTATGTGGATTAGGTTCTTCCTGATGCAGATGGTGATTTTACTGAAATAGTAAAACAATATTTTTGTCTGCAAGGCCACAAAAAATTAATAATAAGTTTTTCATCCAAACTAAAAAGAACAGACAGGGAGCTTTTTTATTTTTTACATTTTGTTTCTCTTTTTACATTTTATTTGACATGGTATGAGTTGGGTGGGGCTGAACATCTAAACATTAATACTAGTATATAATTTCCAAACTTGGAAATGTTTGTCTCTGTGGTGAACCTTACTCTTATCCTTCCTGTTTGTTGGTGCTGGCCTAGTTCATGTTCACGACATAGCTGCATAGTTATCTCACACCATTTCCCTGTGTATCAAGCATGCTGCCTTAACATTCTTTGGCTGAATGTGAAGAAATGTCTGGAACTTATGGTTGAAAGTAATAGTG